TTCTGGTCCTGGAGGAACCTGTTCTGCCTCGCCCTCCGGGGGCCGTTCGCCTCCGGTAATGTCCTCGAACCTCTGGCCGCTGTAGTGCTCCAGGTTCACCATCTGGGTCCGCAGCTCTGCCTCCACCATGCGCCACGCGTGTCGTTCCTCACGCACCGCTGGTCTCATCTGCTCCGGCGACGCCTTGATCACCGCGCCCGGCAGTGCCACCCAGTAGTTGCCGCGCACCTCGCCCATGCAGATACCAGGTCGCCACCGGTGGTGGGCTCGCTTACCCGGGATGCCCTTGTTCTTCATCATGCGCCACACTGCCACCATGTCTCCTGGCAGATACTTAGCCACGACTCTGGGCCGCGAGTCCAGAGCCCGTCGAGCTGCCAGCTTGTCCTGCTGCATGAGAACCTTCATGCGCGAGACCGTCCTGATCCGTGCCTGCTGCGCCGCGATCGGATCGTTCACGATGGCGCTGTTGGTGATCAGGTCGGGGTTGTCCTTCAAGGTCGCCTGGGATCTCAGGGTTGCGGCCGAAGACCATCTGCATCGGGGACACCCCGGTCACCGAGAGGAGACTGTTCTTGGCCATCACCAGCTCCGCGACACACTCGCGCCACTCCGTCTCCGTCTGGGGCTGCGCCTCGCGGATGACGTCCTCCAGCATGATCTCGAACAACTGGTTGTGGTGCTCGATTTTGCCGTTCTGCTCCTTCGCTCCACCTGCTGTGTCCACCGCCTCGATCTCCTGCCGCTCGCACCAGTTGAGGAACTCGTCGCTGATCTGCGCCCGATGGGGGTCTACCTTCAGCCACTTCGGACGGAGGTAGGGGCGAATCCACGCCCGCTCGAACGCGTCCATGAGGTTCTTCGACGTCTCCGCCATGCCGATCATCGGCTCCACCTGGTGCAGGGAGCTCGCCTCGTCGATGATGCCCAAACAGGTGATCCGTTCGCCCGGGATCCAGCTCGGCAAGTCCTTGCAGTCCATGCTCACGTACTTCAAAGGGAGATGAGCCTCCGCTGGTGTACTGTGTCGAGCAACCTTGGGGCACTTCATGCCTTCGCATTCTGGACAATAAAAATCATTGGCCGCCTTGATCGCCTGCTCCGTGGCGCGTGCGTGTCGTAGGTGTCTGATCAGCACGTTGTTCTTGCAGTGGCCGAGTTGCGCGTGCAACTTCCTGAGGCTGTTCTCGATCGAGCTGTGAGGCCGACGTAGTACATCTCGTGTTTCATCTGCGTCCTCTTCTTCTCCAAGCACTGCCTTGCACCCGGCCTCCGAGCTGAACGCCTCCACCTGACACTGTCGTCGCATGTCCCGCACGATCGCCTCCGCCAATCTCTTGGGGCACCGTTGGCTGAACACCGTGCGCTTGATCCCACACTTCAGCATGCCTTCTGTATGTTGATGCTCGTGTCCTCCTCCGCACCGTTGGTGAACTGCTCTCGCTACCTCCGGCGCAGACGTCACGAACTCCCAGCTCTTGGGCATCAACTTCAGGGTGTCTGGGCACCTCAGCCCGAACTCGCAGCCGCTCGCTATGCCCACGTGCACGCCCTGGGTCTGCAAGAGCTGCTTCATCACCGGCACCTGGAGGCTCGCGCACCTCGGGGGGGTCTCATAGACAAAATGCCTGCCCCGCTCCATCTGGTAGATCGCGACCTCCACGACCACATGCACCAAGTTCACCGACCACCTCACATCTCTGAAATGCTGTGCCAGATCCTTCCGGCGATCCAAAGGCATGCACTGCTGCATGATCGACAACTTCCGGCACGGAGGGCACATGTGCACGAAGCACGGCTCGTCCTCGATGATGTGCCGCCACATGGCGTCGTAGTCGTCATCCTTGTCCACATCCCAGCCGTGCACCTTGTCGAGACTCTGACCTTCCAGGAACCCGAACCGCGCCGCTACTGGCACGATACGAGGTGGGGAGAACAGCTCGGTCACCATTCTCCTGGCCTGTGGGCTCCGACCCGGCCCTACTGAAAAGTCAGTGCGGGTGGGCTCTCCGCGTTCTTGAGCACGTCCCGCACGCGCACTGATGACGTGTGCGCCTGCCTCTTCGCCTTCTTCTCCCGGTTCAGGAAGTCGATCTCGTAGTGGCCCGCCACCGTCTCGCTCATGGGAATCGTGAGGCCAAGGCGCTTCAAGTACAACGAGTCCGTCTCCAGGTCCATGGTCGCGCCCAGAGCCTTCATGTCTGGCTTGCTCATCAGGAAGCCTGCAGAGCCCGGGACCACGTACACCACGAAAGTCACGATGAAGTTCTTGATCTCCCAGTCCAGCTCCACTGCACCGATCGACTCCTGCACGCTGCTGTCGAACCCGCGAAACCGCATCGGCTTGGCGTCCTTCAACCACCTCGCCTGTCTGCCGGTCGCCGCCTTGTGCTTGGTCAACGTCTCTTCGCCGATCAGGGACTTGCAGCATCCGGTGTCTGGCACCGAACAGCCGTCGGTGTGCGTCACTCCCAGGACCGTCCCCTCCTCGGTGGCCCTCTTCTCGGGCGACGCGTTCTCGTCCTCCTGCTGCTCCTTCATCTCGTGCGCCAGCCGCTTCCAGCGCTCCTGCTGGATGAGCCTCGCCAGCACGTTGTCCTCGTGGACCTTCAGGATGCTATTGATCTCGTCGTCCAAGTCCACGCTGTTGATCTCGTCGTCCCGAGCTGCTCCCAGTGCTGCCTGGACTCGTGCTTCTTCCGGGTCCTCCTCGTCCATCGGCTCGACGATCACCATCTGCGAGCTGTGGGCCGGGAGGGCCTCCTTGCAGTCCCTGCTGAAGTGGCCGATCTTCTTGCACCTGAAGCACTTCACCCTACGGCCGAGCTTGTCGAGATCGTGCCGGGTTGGTCCACCATGACCTCCCTGTCCTGGTCGTGCTTTCCACGGAGGCCTGAGCCCGCGGTCCAACTTCTCCTTGGTCATGGCCGTGCGTGTCTGCTTCCACGTTGCCAGGATCTCTACCGCGTCCGCCTCGTCGATCGGCTCCGCCGCCTGGACGATCGCGTCTATCTCGTCTGTGATGTCGTCCTCCGCGCCCTCCTCCTGGTAGGGCTCGGGCGGTGGGCCGACCTCGGTGTCCCCGTGCTCCTCCTCCACCGCGAACGCCATCTGCGTGAGCCTCTCTGCCTCTCTGGTGGAACTCCTGGGAACGCCGTCCTGATCGCCGTGCAAACCTCGTCCACGTTCCAGCTCCGGTGGGTCGCCGACATCACCGTCGCACGGCCGAAATGGCCCAGCCGAGCACCTCGTAGAATCAGGTAGCCTCGAGCGACCGATGGCAAGTCCACACCTTCCTTGGCCAGCCGCGCGTACACCAACTGCGCGCGCCCGGTGTAGGCCTCCGTCGTCTCCTGCTTCTGGATGCGTAGGCTGAAGCCTTCCTCCATCGCCTCTCCGAGACGATCCGCCGCCACCTTCTCTGGAAACCGCTCGTGTAATCGAGCGAACACCACCTCCTCACCGGTGTCCACGTTGATGTCCGCCAAGTCCACGTTTTCTACTGCCAGCGCCGCCTGGCCGTCCAGCAGCGTGTACAGCCACGGGCCCAGAGCCTCTGCTGGAGTGCCCCGAGCCTTCTGGACCACGATCGCCGCCTTTGCCCACCGCTTCCACACTTTGTAGGCCGCCGCTCCGTCGTTGCCGTCCCCGCTGAACCGCTTCACGTTGGCAGCACCTCCTCCTTGGTCCGCCATCGTCACCGTGTGACGGGCTCCTGCCCAGTCACGTGCTCCTCACTTCTCGCTGCTATTGGCTCAAGCCACTGCGAATCCGTCTGAGGGGTCGCGAGAGGAGTCGAGCTCGAGGAGGAGAGGATGATGCTCTTCTTGCCCCCTGCTGATAGCGGTCGAGGGCGCCCGCGCGTCCGCGCGGGGGGGGCCTATCGAACCATAACAATGGCTACGGCAACAGACGGGCCCGCATGGGCTCAGGTCTCGGAGGGGTCTTATGAGGGGCCCTCAGGGGTCCGTGTTCGCAGCATCCCTCTGAAAACTCGAGGAGGGAGGACGAGGAGGGAGGAGGGAGGACAAGGAGGACGAGGGAGGAGGGAGGAGGAGGAGGAGGAGGAGGGGGAGGAGGAGGAGGGTGATGCTGATGATGATGATGATGATGATGATGATGATGATGATGATGATGATGATGATGATGATTATGATGATGATTATGAGGATGAGGATGAGGATGAGGATGAGGATGAGGATGATGATGATGATGATGATGATGATGATGATGATGATGATGATGATGATGATGAGGGGGAAGCGGAGGAGCGGGAGGTCGAGAACGGGAAGGACGGCTTGTATTACCAGACGAGACCTTGGGGGGGCGAGGGGGGCATTAACATGGGTCTCTGCGGTTAGCAGCGCTGATCTGATGTATTACTTCCTTATGCGGCTCAAGGCAATGCGAAGGTATCAAACAAACTCCGGCGGAAACGGATGAATTTCAACTGCCCGCGTTGACGACAGCGCCATCGGCGGCGACCAGGGGAACACGCACGCCAACAAATGAGTTGGCCGCCAAGCCAACATCCAGATGCGCTGGATCCAACGCGGCTCCCCCGCCGAGACGACAACTGGCGGCACCATTGACAATCTTGATCAAACCACCATACCTTGATCAGCGCAAGCAAGAAGAAATATCATCCCCCTCTCGTGCCAGGACAAGCTGACACCGAGCGTGCGCCACGGGTGCGCACTCTTCCTGCCTGTGTTTTCTGGAGATTTCCGCAAACATGCGTGTATGCAGCGCCGGCGCTTGGGCTCGAGCTGATAAAGGCGGCTGCCCTCCCCCACAGCAGCAGCACTGGGGTAGAGGAGCCATAGAGTTTTGTGCAGAATTGACAGAGTTCGAGCTGGGACGAACCTCGCGGGCGACACGATCGAGCGAGGGAGAGCTCCAGCCAGAACGAGGTTGGTAGCGGAGCCTGTGGTTGGCCCCACAGCTCCACAAGACGAACACAGAGAAGGTCGATACTAGCCATTTCGGAGACTACGTACATGGCGGAGTACAACAGTGCGGTGGACCCGAAGATACCGGTGCTGAAGAGAGAAACGTTGAAGGATTACACCAGATGCAAGAGGGCAGTTCAGGCGGCGGAGCTGAGCTGCGAGAGTAAGGAGTCTAAGCAGGTGCTCGGTCCGAAACTGTATAGGAACCTGCTGGGCGCGGACAACTCCATAAGCGTGCTGATAGAACAGACGAACCCGAAGGACGACGCGACGGAGGACGGCGCCCAGATACTATTGCGATTCCTCGAAGAGCCGCGCTTCGCCAAGAGCTGTTTCATGGAGCTGCCGAAGGCGTTCGACGCTTTCTTCGACCAGACACACTTCGAGAAGAAGGGCGAAGAGCCGATGGCGGCGCTTTGTACGGCGATGGAGGTGGCGAAGCGCAATCTCGAGGAAGAGGACCCAGACACGAAGATCAGTGCGAACGAGCTAGGGTACCACACGCTGAAGCGAAGCGGACTGGACAAGGACGAGCGCAATCTAGTGATAGCGCGTGCAAATGAGACCTTCAACTTCCAGAATATTAGCACGACGCTGAAGAACCTCTTCCCACAAAGTGGAGGTCGGCACCCGGATCGACAGGGATCGAGAACGAGCTGGCGATGGGCGAACTACAACGACGGAGAGCGCGACCCGGAGGACGAAGACCAGAACGTCGAGCACGACGGGCACTGGGTCCAGGACGACGACGGCTACTGGTACGAGTGGGACGAAGAGCGCGGTGTCTACGCGTTCGCCGAGGACGGCGACGACGGCTGGGACAGCAGCGACATGTTCTACATCGAGGACGACACCGACGTCTACCTCGCGAGCGAGGACGACGAGTACCAGCAGGCCCTCGTCACGCTGCGCGAGAGCAGGCTGAAGATGAACAAGATCCGGGCGGCTCGAGGTTTCTTCGAGGAACGAATCGATGGAGTAGTGGACGAGAGCGCGGCGGCCGATGGCAAGGCAGCCGGGAAAGGAGGCAAAGGTGGCGAGGGCAAGGACGGTGGCAAAGGCAAGGCCAAGGACAAGAGGTGCACCAACTGCGGAAGAATGGACCATGCTGCACCGGACTGCCCGACGTCACGACCTCCGAGGCCTGCAGGCAAAGGCTTCAAGGGCCGCGGCACGACCTCGAAGGCTCAATCCCGTCCACGACGGCTGGGTTTCTGGGCGATGACCACACTGGTGTGCGTCATGCCCGACATGTTCCACCAGAAGGACATCCAGGGCCCGGGGCCCGCGACGGAGAACTTCCAGGAGCCAGCCGAGCACGACATCATGATGGTCAACATGGAGAGCGACCCGATCCTACCGGAAGTGCCAGAAGTGGACGCGATGATCTCGAGCACGATCGTGCCAACTACCCTGGTGGACAGCGGCGCCTCCGTAGCGGTGGCAGGGCGCGGCTGGCTGGACAAGATCGCTGTGGAGCTCGAGAAGTACGGTCTGAGGCGCATCATCGTCGAGGCGAGCCAGAAGTTCAAGGGACTTGGCGGCGCACGACGTGAGGCGAAGCAGAAGTGGATCATCCCGATCGGTATTGGCAAGAAGCATGTCCTGCAGGAGTATTTCGAGATCCCTGGTGACATGATTGGCTTGACGAGCAAGAAGAACCTGGCGGACTGGAAGACGAACCTCTACCTGCGCGAGGACGGCCAATGGGCCGACTTCCAGGATCTCGGGGTATACGACAGGGAGCTCGTGAAGCTTCCCGGCGGCCGCGCGGGCATCGACATCTTCGACTACGACCTGGAGTCGTACGAGGCGGAGCCCCTCTTCGAGAAGTTCCGCATCAACGTCGAGAAAGTCGAGCCGGAGGCTTTCCTGGTCGCGGAGACGCTGCAGGTGTCCAAGCCAGACTTCAGGGTCAAGGACGACGCCGATCGGTGGGTCCAGGATGCAACGAAAAACGGTAACAAGGGGATCTTCAAGAAAGGTACGCTCAAGCGAATCGACAAGCTCATGAAGGAGTATGCGGTTATATTCGACGTGCTGCGCGACAACAACGAGATGTTTCTCTGGGAATTGTTCGCGAAGGCGGCTCGCTTTACTCATGTAGCTTCGAAGGGTGGTCACGCGAATGCGACCCCCTCGGACTTGTCAGTTGGCGTGAACTTTAACGACCCTCGGACGCGATCAGATATCCTGTTTTTGATTCGGACCTTCAAGCCCTGGATGGTTTCGGTCGCATTCCCGTTTACCGCCCATGCGAATCTGCAAGAGCTACAGCGTGCTCAGGGAATGGGCGACAGGGTGGACGACCTCATCCAGGAGCTTCGGCCGCTGATCGATTTGTCGGCGGAGGTGCTCAAGATTCAGGCTGAAGGAAGGCGGACCGGCATCGGCGAGAATCCCCTCACCAGCCCGGCGCGGCGGGGAGTTCTGATCGTGGACCTGCTGAGCTGGCGCGGGAACAAGCCGCCACTCTACGAGACGGTCACGCTGCACCAGCGCATGCACGGGCTCGTGGACAACTACGGCGACCCGATTCTCAAGCCGACGTGCATGATGGACCCCAACGGTTCGTGCTTCCCTGGGTGGCTCGAGCGCAGGTGCGACGGGAGCCACCAGCACGCCGACATGGTCGGGCGGAGCACGGCACTGGCACAGGCGGGCGCCTGGCCGGACGACCTGGGCAAGGCTCTCGTGGGCTCCGGCGCGCACGAGCTGGCACGACGGACAAGCCCGAGGGAGATGGGCATCGGCGAGGTCCCCGAGCAAGCAGATCGTGAACGCAGTGGCCCAGGCGTTCAAGCTAAGAAAAGACCTGATCGACGTGCGCGCGTGGATGGGTGACGAGGAGGTTCCGCCCCCTCGCGGGGCAGTGCGGCGCGTCTGCGCGATGTACTCCAGCGAGGGCGCACTGGCGGACTACAGCAACGCCTACGCGGGCGACCGGGCTTCGGGACGATCAAGCTGGTCAAGCGGTTCCCCGCCGACGCGGTGGCCGCAGTCTACGTGAAGGGGCCGAAGGTGCAGACGTCCTCCCCTGCGACGGTGCACATCTACGGGAGCACGCCAAAGACGTTCGCTCCAGATGATCGCGAAGCTGACACGGCACATCGAGACCTACAACACGAGGGTGAGCGTTTCGGGGACAAGCCTTCGGACATCGCCACGGCCCAGTGGGGTGCTCTCAAGAAGCTCCACCTCAACCTGAGCCATCCTTCTGCTCACGCACTGAAGCGGCGACTGAAGTCCTACGGAGCGTCACAGCAAGTGCTGGATGCGGTTCACAAGCTGGACTGCGGCGTGTGCAAGGAGCTCGGCAGGCCGACTACGGTGAGAAGCTCGAACCTGAAGCTCTCGACGGAATTCAACGAGAACGTGTTCCTAGACGAAGCCGAGGTGATACTAGCAGACGGGACCCGACTGATGGTCATGGTGATCTTGGACGACGCATCGGGCTTCCGGGCAATCATCCCGACTACTGCAGTGAGGTCCATCACCGGCGAGGAGAGCCTGCGATGTTTTCCGGAAGGCTGGCTATCGTAGGCTGGACCACCCAAGGTGCTGTACTACGACGCGGCTAAGGGTCATATCACGAAGCGGTTCGCGGAGATCGGAGAGAAGTACGCTATCCTGATAAGGCTGGTGCCAGCAGAGGCGCCCCAGCTCCAGGGCCGAGTGGAGCGCGCGATCGACTTCTTCAAGGGCCATTTCCAGCGCCTGAACCGCGACGTGCAGCTCACCAAGGACGACGATCCGCATGTGTGGACATCGGTGATAGCGAGTACGTGCAACAACCACATTCGGCGGAATGGCTTCACCCTTACCAATACGTGCTGGGCCGGTCGCCTGGCATCCTGGCCTCGCTGATCGAGGCGATGGAGAGGGCGATCAGAGGCAGCTGGCATCGCAGAGCGCGGCTCTCTTCGCGGAGGGCCCGAGGGGAGCAGACCAGATACGTGCGGCGGCGAACCGGGCGTTCTTCGAGCTGGACAGCTACGACGCCGTCAGGAGGGCCATGGTAGGCCGAAATCGCCCACCGCGTGGGCCGTTCGTACCCGGCCAGCTGGTATTCTACTGGCGCGAGGTGAAGCACGCGAAGTCGAAGAGGCTCCAGGGCGAGCATGGTTGGCGTGGGCCAGCGATCGTGTTGGCGACAGAAGGCCATGCGAGGCTACACCTGAGCTACCGCGGTATGCCGGTGCTCGCGACGCCGGAGCAGGTGCGGCACGCCTCCCGGAGCGAGGCGGAGATGGTGGAGAACGAGGACTTGGTCAGGCAACTCTCGCACTGGCGCGGAGGACCTACTCTCCAGAAGGGATTCATTGATGAGCGCGGACCTGGGCCAGACGGGAGCGACAAGACGGGAGTGCGCCGCGAGAGGGGCGAGAAGGACTCGGACCACGAGGACAGTGTGATCGACACGCCTACGGCTAAGGCACCGCGTGCCGAGCCGGCTCCACCACCGCCGCGGCCAGTGGTCGAAGCCACGCCGAAGAAAGAGCGCGAGGAGGAGAACGTACCTGCACCTGGAGACCTACCTGAAGTACCACCTTTACCGGCAGGAGGACCAGTTCCTCCGGAACAAACTGCAGACGCAGCTGGGCAGGGGCACTCCATGGACCTGGACGCGGCGGCTGCGCCAGGTATTCCGCATCAACAGCAACAGCAACCAGGTCGAGCTGAGCAACCAGAACCTGTACAGCTTCCCGACGACCAGGAGGTAGATCGCGAACGCCTATGACTACGGTGCGAGGCTCTAAAGTAGGGCGACGATATCTATACATATCCACTGCTCCCGGCCAGGCCAATCCTGGGCCCAAGAGCTGCGTATACGCCCTCCTGGCTTGGCCAGGGAGGCATATACACCGCTCCTGGGCCCAGGATGGGCCTGGCCGGGAGCAGTGGATATGCATAGATCTCGTCGCCCTATAAAGGGCAGCTCCATGCGACTTCCGAAGGTACCAGACGACCCGATGGATCAGGAAGCACTCTTCGTCAAGGTCAGGAATCGCCAGAGGAGCGCGTTTCTATCCTGGAGGACCGACACGACGAAGAAGCAGGTCACTCCCAAGAAGGGTCGGGAGATCCGCAGCATCCCACAGGAGTGGAAGGCGGCTTTCGACGCGAGCGACCTGGAGGAGTGGCGCAAGTGGGTCGAGTACGACGCAGTGGACTGGCCTACCGAGGAGGAGCTCGCGGGGGTGGACAAGCCAGCGATCCTGCCCATGAGGCGCGTTCGCACGGACAAGAACGAGGCGACGAGGGGCAACCTGTCGTGCGAGCAGCACCCGCTCAAGGCGAAGTCCTGGAACATCGTTCCAGGATGCAAAGACAAATAGCTGCTCGCTGGCGAGTTGCAGACCAACGCCCCCGCGCTGACGGACACGGCCACATCGGTGATCCTGCAGGAGGCCGCTAGCCAGTCGGGTTGGAGGCTGGAACAGGGCGACGTCGACTTGGCATTTCTGAACGGGAAGTACCTCGACAACTCTCGACGCGTATACTTCCGCGCGCCGAAGGGCGGCCTGCCAGCTGTGCCGGAGATGGGCTGGCCAGCCGTTCCAGAAGGTGCGGTGCTGAGAGCGAAGAAGGGGATCTACGGGCTGAACGATGCACCTCTGTTGTGGTACGAGGAGCATCGCGACACCATGCTGTCTCTTCCAAGAGCGTCGAGATCGAAGTTGCGCCCCGCTCTCTTCATCTTCCACGACGAGAATGAGAAGCTGATCGGCCTGATCGGGACGCACGTGGACGACGATTTGGTAGCGGGCTCGCCCGAGTTCTTCGCTAACCAGGTGACCAAGCTGAGGAAGATGCACTGTTACGGCAAGTGGCAGACGGCGAAGACCGGTTTCCACCACTGCGGGAGATTCCTCAAACAGAGAGACGATGGCACCATCACCTGCAGCCGGAGGGAGTACACCGAGAGCATCGAGAAGATTCCGATCTCAAACGAGCGGCGCAAGGACAAGGAAGCGAAAGCTACACCCGAGGAGAGGGCGATGCTCCACAGCGGCAACGGCCAGATCCAGTGGCTGGTGCGATCTACCCGTATGGACTTGGCATTTCGACTGGTGGAGAGTCAAGCGAGGGCTCACGACAGCGACCTGAGGGTTCAGGACTTGCTGGACTTCAACAAGCTAGTGAGCGACGCCAAGACGGACCATGTGGACATCACTTTCCAGAAGATCTACATAGACGACTCGATCGTGGTGGCGGTTGGAGACTCGAGCCACGGCAACGTGGGCAAGACGAAGACCGCGAGTCAGGCGGGCCTGGTCATCCTGCTCGCAGACAACAAGGACGATCAATTCCTTCGCGGGAGGCCGGCCAAGGTCACTCCCATGTTGTGGCGGTCGCACCGTATCAAGCGGGTGGTGCGCAGTACCCTGGCGGCCGAGACGATGGCGGCGCTGGAGGCGGTCGAGAGTGGCGACGTGCTGAGGCAGCACCTGGTGGAGCCGCACGACGGGCTAGGTTACTGGACCCACATGGACGACGTGAAGGCGACCAAAGTCACGGACTGTAAGTCGCTCTGCGACCTGCTCCAGAAGCGAGGGGCGGTGCCCTCCGAGAAGCGGCTGCTGATCGATATCGAGTCGCTCAGGAACGATCTGGAGTTCAACAAGGTGGTGAGCAAGTGGGTGAGCACGAAGCAAATGCTCGCCGACTGCCTAACCAAGCACGACGTGCGCGCTGGTGACTACATGAGGTCTGTGCTCCAGACCGGTGAGTACCGGCTGACGGAGGATCACATGGCGGACCAGATCATTGCGAAGCAGAGGATGGAGCTCAACGGACGCAGGGGTGAATACTACCGCTCGAAGTATCCAAAGAGGCAGCGACCTGCTGACCAGCTCTTTGTTCACGAGGGCTACACCTACTTCGAGGACTGCATTGCGGATGTGAGGTACAATGCGCGTGTGGCTCAGCCTGCTCCGAAGCCCTACCTCCGTTAGCGGATGATGCTTGGACAGCGCGAGGACGATATCTACTACGAGAAGCTTGAGGACATGGTTGACTTCCTGGGTCAGACCAGGTGACGAAGCGTCGGAGGATCCCGACCCAGGTGCGGAAGCTGTTGACGATCTACGCACCGACCAAGGCGGCCCACGAGCGCTACGAGAAGGACTTCACGGAGAAGCACACCATCAAGAAGCCGAAGGTGACGAACAATGAGGACTCCAAGGAGGAGCTAGGTGTCACTGAGGAGCTTGGTGCGCACGTCGAATCGGACGAAAACGTGAAGGAGGATAGCACCGACGTCGCAGAGATCTACATGATGGATGCCGCGGGTGCCGAGTCTGAGGAGATCAAGTCAGGCGCCACTGCAGCTGCGACGGTGACGGTGTGTGCGTTGTGTCGGATGACGTTGGACCAGTGCGAATGCGGACCGAGGACACGCAAGAAGCCGCATCGGGCATCTACCTCCGCGCATTCCGACGACCTACCTGCTGTACCTGATGACGAAGACGATGATGACGAGGAAGCAGGGACCTGGCAGAAGGTACCGCACCGACGCAAGGATTCTACTACACCGACGAAGAAGGAGATGCTGAAGGCTCGCGCGCTACACGAGAGAACCGGACATTCATCGTACGAGAAGATCGCGGACGAGTTTGGCGACGTGATCGACGAAGGTGTTCTCGAGGCGTATGAGCTGGTGGTCACGAACTGCGACGAGTGTCGTCGAGGAAAGAAGACCTACGCCTCCGTGCAGCGTGGAGCCAAGGGCAGTGAGTTCGAGACGCACGAGTCCACGAGCAAGGCCAAGGACAAGCTCAAGGGGAAGCAGATGGCCCGAGATCGCATAGGCGAGTGCGAGCACAATGTGACGACCACACAGGGAAGTAACCAGTATAAGGACAAGCTCTGGTGCCTGCAGTGTGGCATGCTGCTAGTGGACACGGACACGACGTGGTGGAAGCGAGAGAAGGCGCATCGTGAGATCGAGAAGACCTTGCGTACCAGCAAGGAGAAGGAGATCAAAGCCGAGATGAAGGCCATCCGCCTCCGTGACATGTACGAGAGGATGGAGGACAGTAAGTCGAGCAAACGGATACGTGAGGGACCACTACGCCGTGTGCGACTACAACGCCATTTTGGCGATCAGCACGGGTGTTGCGCGGTTTGCAGCGACGCCTGTCCTTTTGCTGTTGAACTGGGTGTTAGGCCCAGCGCACGCTGATGCGTGTCACGCTTAGTTAGAGAAAATAATATGAGTGTGATTTCTGGAGATTTCCGGAGGATTTGCCCTGGGAATCTAGGATGTTGCAAGTGACTAACATGCGTGTATGCAGCGCTGGCGCTTGGGCTCGAGCTGATAAAGGCGGCTCCCCTCCCCCACAGCAGCAGCAGCGGGGTAGAGGAGCCATAGAGGTTTCGGCAAAGTTGACAGAGTTCGAGCTGGGACGAACCTCGCCGACGACACGATCGAGCGAGGGAGAGCTCCAGCCAGAACGAGGCTGCCCATGTGAAGCATTGCCAAGCCACTGATAGACGACACATCCACAGAGTCACCGCCATCAGGTCACCGATACCAGGGCCAACTGTCCCCCCCCCCCAGGGAGACCATACGCGAGACCATACGGGAGACCATACGGGAGACCATCATGTCACCGATTCTGAGGCCTGCGACTGCCCCTACTGCCCTTCGCACAAGCCAATTGTACAAGCCTCACAGACAAGCTGTTTAGGGAGCTAAACACGAGAAAGGAGGACCATCAACATGCATCAGGCCTGGCCAGGCCCATTTTAGGCACGTATCTTGAGGGTGGATATTGTCCCTCTCCAGGTCCAGAGAGCCCTCGGGCAGGAGACGACGGGGAGGACGGAGGAGGGAAGAGGAGGGAGGAGAGTGGAGGAGGGAGCGAGGATGAGATCTCGCTGGCTGCAGACGTGAGCACTCGAAGAAATGCTATGGCGGCTCCTGCTGTTTGGGGGCGTCGGCGGCCGCGGCCCCACATTCTCCCAGATGCAACGTGGTTTCCAGAGTGCGCCAGCACGAATGCTCTCGAGAAATCAAAAGCGCTCGGAAACAGGCGGGATGATGCGGTTAGAAACAGACTGGCCTACACACTGCAACTCCAGAGCCTTTGGCGGTAACCCTGTGCCCCTGATAATCACACGGTGGGGATAATAAAGTTCGGGGCTCTGGAGGGATAATCAACTTTTCCCGGCAGGTCGCAACAGACAGGATGAGGAGGCTCGCAGGAAACCCGGCGGCTCGGAAAAGCTTGAGCCAAAACAGTTGTGGAGTGGGATGGGGAGGGGGACGAGGAGGGATAGCAGCAGCGGCAATAACAAAGAGAAATAAAAGAACTCCCTATGGGGCCACGAACCGTGAAATCAGGGCCAACGAGAGATCATGCTCACGATGATGATGACGACGGTGATGACGATGATGACGACAACGATGACGATGACGATATTAATGTTAAGGATGATGATGAGGATGATTATGATGATGGTGGTGATGGTGATGATGATGGTGACGATGCTGCTGCTGACGATGCTGAGTATGATAATTGTGATGAGGGTGACGATGATGCTGATGATGATGATGGCGATGATGCTGATGATGATGGTGGTGATGTTGGTGATGATGACAGTGATTATAATGTTACTGAGACTGATGATGATGATGATGATGATGATGATGATGATGATGATGAGTACGATGACGATGACGGTGACGATGATGATGCTGTTGCTGCTAAATATGATTTATGGTGATGATGATAGTGGTTGTGGTGATGATGATGATGATGAGGAGGAAGAGGAGGAGGAGGAGGAGGAGGGGGATGATTGATGCTGATGCTAATGGGAAGAATTATGATTGTGCTGGTGCTGCTGATACTGATGCTGATGATGATGATGATCATCATGAACAGATTATTCAACCTACGATTGATAGTTTCCCTGATACTTTCCACGGTGATGATGAAGTTCGGCCCCGCCGCTCTCCACCTCCGACCAAAACTGTCTTGGCTAGAGATAATCAACGCTCAGAAGTCAAGGGGGGAATGATTGATCATCAGGGGCACGGGGTTAGCCAGGCCTGGATAGAACATTCGCATCGGGCCTGGACGCACAGACAGCGGCATCAGCTTTGAAAATAATACATCGCCAGCCCTCTCAAGAACGACTGACGGCTGAAAACAAACAGGTGAACAGTCCACAAGCCCCCTTAAGAGGCTGTATGGGTATGGGGCAAGATAACTTCCGAGACCAAATACCAATACCGATGAACCGAATGAAAACTGTGGCGCATGCCTCGTCAGCTGCCTTGAGCACGTAGCGGAGTGCCCCAGGGCTCATGCAGTTATGAGTGGCAGAAGCATTGTAGAGCTCTTCAGGGCCAGGCCAGGGCGCTCCTGGGATATGGCGCGTGAGACTCCCAGAAAGGCCTACATCTGTAGCTGAACATGGTCGGACAAGAACGGGAGGCGCCGCTTCAGTCCAATGGGCTTACTGGACGAAGCAGAACAGGGGGGCGAGGGTGACCAGGAGGCGAGGACGAGGACGACGTGGAGAACGTGAGGATAGCAAGGAGGAGCATGAGGACAACGAGAAGGAAGAGAAGCACAAGGACGAGGACGACGAGAACGAGGGCGATTACGAGGAGGAATGCGGAGGACGATGGCAACGACGACGACGACGAAGACGACGACGGAGGGCAGTAGGAGGCAAGTGGAGAAGGACGTTGAATCAAGAGAGGGTCCTGGTGACCCTATCGGGCCACCCTGGAGGGTCCTGGCACCGCACGGGGTTGTCTTGGGGTCTGTTGGGGGCCTCTTGGGGGCCTCTTGGGTCCTCTTGTGAGCTTCTGGTGTCTTCTTGGACTGTCTGGACGCGTCGGGGGGCTCTTTGTGAGCTTTCTTGGGCCGTCTCGGCGCCATCTTGGACCGTGTTACGGTTTTCTTGGGCCGTTTGGGGGCCTCCTCGGGCGCTGCCGGGAGTCTCTTGGGGACCTCTCGGTCCTTCTTGGGACGTTTTGGGGTTCTTGTAAGCTGTCTGGGTGCCTCCTGGAGCGCTTTGTGGGGTCTCTTGGGGTCCTCTTGGGGCGTTTCTGGGCGCTCTCGGGGCTCACCAGTGCGTCTCTGGGCCTCGTTTGGGCCGCTCGAAAGTCCTCCGGGAGCGATTCCAAGACGAAGTCGATTCGGAGTCCCCTGCAGGGCCGATTTTTCAAGGATGTCTCCAGCGAGACGGCCATTTTTCTGAAAACTGACCGGACAAAAACGGGAAGCGTAGTTGTGTGTGCTGTGCTCCTGTGACATGTTTTGCTCAGCTCCTGTGGCGCCGTACTGTTGTGTGGTCTGCCATGCTCCTGGGTGGTCTACCGTGTTCCTGTCAATTGCCTTGCTCTGGTGGTCTGCCGTGTTCCTGTGGTATACCGTGCTCCTATGATCTGCCGTGTCCATGTAGTCGGCCGTGCTCCTGTGTGAACTGCCGTGCTCCTGTGATCTGCCGTGTTCCTGTGTTGTCTGCCGTGTTCCTGCAGGGTCTGCCGTGCTCCTATGGTCCGCCGTGATCCTATGGTCTGCCGTCCTTCTGTGCTTTGCCATGCCCCTATGATCTGCATCGTCGCTGCCGTGGTATGCAGAGTTTCTCTCCTGTTTAATCTGCCGCACTCCTACGTAAAATGATGTGCTCTTGCCGGGTCAGCCGTGTTCCTGTTGTATGCCGTGCTCCTATGACGCGCGTAATTCCTATGACAAACTGCCGTGCTTCTGCGTGGTCAACCGTGCCCGTGTGGTCCGCCGTGCTCCTGTGTACTCTGCCGTGTTCCTGTGTGCTCTGCCGTACTCATGTGCTCTGCCGTACTCCTGTGTGGTCTGCCGTGCTCCTGTGGTCTGATGTGCTCCTATGATCTGCAATGCTATTGCGCGGTCTGCCGTGCTCCTGTGGTTTGCCGAATTCCTGTATTGTCTGCCGTGCTGCTGCGTGGTGTGCCGTGATCTTGCGTGGTCTGCCGCGCTCCTATGGTATGCCATGTTCCTGTGCGATCTGCCGTGCTCCTGTCTGGTTCGCCGAATTCCACTTTGGCCTGCCGTGCTCCTGCGTGGTCTGCCGTGCTCCTGTACGGTCTGCCGTGACCCTGTGTGGTCTGCCTTGCTCCAGTGCTGATAACTACGAAACCTTACAAGCGGGAAAAGGTCCCACCACGGGTGCCGAAAGCATCGGAAATGCCACGCCCGCCCCTCGGGGCATCTCCAATGCCCAACACCATGATAGGGGCGGCAGAAGGAACTGATTCATCGCGGCGCAGAAGCCCTGCGTGGCAGCCCAGCGTGTTGCTGGGCCGCGGCCTCGCGCCCGCGCAGGGGCTGAACCGGCGGCCAGCTACAAAGGGCGGGTACCGTCCACGCTGGCGCTTCCTGCCTGCGGCTCGCTCTCCCGCTGCCGCCCAGGACGGCTGTCGCCCTGGCGGGGCAGCGGGCCCACAGAACCCTCGTCGCCCATTGCTGTCGCCTGCCTCCTCGCCCGCAAGTCGCCGACGGCGGCGGCAGCCCCCCCGCTCGGCGCGGGCAACCGCAGCAGCAGAGGCCCATGCCGCCAATTCGGCCTCGTCGACGCCGTGCGCGGCCACGCATTCCGCCCGGCGGCCAGCTCTCCCGCTGGCCGCGCGCTGCCTGTGGGGCGCTCGCCCTCTGGGGCCACGCAGCGCTCGCCGCTGCGCCGCTGGGCCCTGCTGCAGGGCTGACATCGCGAGGGGCTTCGTTGGCGGCCATGGCTGGCCCCGCTTCGCTCTCCTCGCTCTGGATGCCGAGCCGCTCCAAGTAGCAGATCCTCGCATCCTGAAGGGCGGCTGCCTCTTTCCGCTGCCGCAGCGCAGCCTCGCCGGCCGCGAGCTGCCTCTGCCGCCCCGGGCGTGCCCCAGGGCGGCGGCCCCGCCCCCGCAGGCCCCGCGTGTTTGAAGGGGCCCCAGGACACACAAAGAAATACACACAAATAAAAATATTCCTAATATTTTCATATATTTTCTGGGTTTCTGTCCCCCCCCCACTTCCCATATTTTCCCATATTTTCTTGGGAATCGATGATTAATTGTGTCTGTGTGTTTCTTTTCCTCCTGACTGTTCCTCGGGGACCTTGTCGCCACGCCCGCGGCCGAGGCACTGGTCCTCGAGCTTTGGCCGGGCCACGCTGCGCCACGCTGCGCCCGCCGAGCTCCGTGAAAGCGCCGCGCTGGGCGCAAGCA